GAGGTGCTAATGCGTGCTCTGGTGTGTCTTCATGCATGTGCCGTATGTTTGCATCCATCTTCTATGCGATCTCATGACAACACAGACACAGGACACAGTATGCATTTCGGGGCCTTTATGTAAACACGGCTATGTAGGGATGACAAAATCGAATTACTTTTGGCATTTATGCTAGTTTTGATATCGCAACAGACTTATAGATTGGACTCGTTGTAACTGTGCCCGGGTTGAATTGATGATAATGCTTGGGTTTTTCTCCGACCTCCACCCTATGACCTGAATCCCATGCAGCCTCGACCTCACCATGTCGTCTCCTCGGCACACCATCAATTGGACTTGGAGGCTGGGCTTCTGAGACAAACATGGTGTAATATGTGAAGAATCTTCTGAGCTAAGACTGGTGTGAAGACTTTCATTTCGTATGAAAGTGAATGAAGAAGAAATTCGTAGGTCGATCTCACCAGAAGAGGATGGATGAATCCCTTCGTACTTCAGCCATTTGGCTTTTATACGAAGTTCAGGTCGACGCAGTCCACGAGACCTCCTCCCTCGTTTCGGACGTTGGAGGATGTCTCGTGGACTGCGTCAACATGAACGGCTGCAGTAGAAAGGGATTCAGCCGTCGTCTTCTGATGAGATCAACTTACGATTTTCTTCTTCATGCACTTTCATACGGAATGACAGTCACCCCAACAATGCTCTATCTCAGGAGATCTTCATAAATATATTTGTTTCCTTAATGTGATTCCGAGATTCGGCTATCCAATAGTCTACATGTCTATCTATTAATATGGCTAAAATGACGGTTTGTATAAATACTTTTAGATAAAAGATAAATTATTTTGCACAATTATTTGACTTTCTACATAGTCGGTTTGCTTATTTGAGACTGACACTAACTGGATCCTCGGTTGATTTTCGACCAGGTTTTTCCTGGACACAGTTTTGGATACTCTGACTGCGGGCACTTGTATTCCGGTCGAAGCATTGGCCAAACGTCTTCTCGAGTTACGATTGCCACGCGAAGTTATCGACACCAGCACCAAAATGGCCCTGGGTCGCGGTCACTATGGTCAAGTCACTAAGGCACTGTTAAGACCGGTTGTCATGGCGGCCGGAGCTACGACAAGGGAGGCTTTTGAAGAGGAGACGACTGGATCTAGACCCATCCATTTGGCAGCGGGTCCATGTTTGCCGGTGGCCGTGAAACGGCCCGTCCCAGACCGGTATTCAAGTTTAGTCTGTTTCCGCAGCGAACTCCGTCTAATGGCCAGACTCCCAGCCAACCGGAATGTCGTTCAGCTCTTGGGTGTGGTCTTCGGTTTCCGGCCCAGCCTGGTCGATGCAATGTTGGTGCTCGAGTTCTGCGAGAAGGCCAGTCTGAGTGATTACCTTCAGGAGCAAGTCAAGTGAGTCATATATTCCTATTCTCACGCATTATTTTCTTAGTACTCCCCTTATATCCGGGTGAGTAGTACACAAGTAGTATTTTTTTAGATCGTTTTTTCTTGGCAATCCGTAGCTGTTGTGTGATTCGTTCTATAGCAACCTATTATTGCCACTTTTTTTGCAAAAAAATCGCCATAGCTACTTTTCTATGCCGATTAAATCTAGGTTTTCTTATTTAATTACCCTGGCGCCTTGGTTGTATCCGGCCGTTGGTTGCTGCTTGCCGTGCTGTTGTGGCTAACACATATTTGGCCAACATCAGAAAGAACAGTTGAGTAGAAAGGTAAACTTTGAAATGTATGACATTTGTGATGATTTCTTATAATTCGACTAAGCTTGTAGAGAAGGTCGTCATTCTCAGGCACTTTAGACGGTCTTATTTGGGGGCAGCATCTCGGACCTCGTTGATGCATCAGGCCAGCCTCAGCGTATTGGCTTCCGTTAAAGTCATCTTTAAATTAGACCATTTCATCGAAGCGCTCAGGAGGCTGGCCCGACTGTCTATACACTTTCGGCTTTTTCATGATCTGGAGGATTTTGTGTTTATTCTGGCATTTAACCTGTTTCTAACCGCCGGCTACAGATGCACAATTGGACAGCAACGAGAGATGGGAATGCGACATGCTATGGAGGCAGGGTAGTGAATAAATGTGGGAAGAGGGGGGGACCCTATTTATTGCTTATGAGACCAAAGCTTCGCAACAATATTCACAAATGTATAGCAATCTTCTTTCGGTTTTTGAAGAGGCCAAAGTTCCT